CATCACGTGCTGCTCTCGCTCGCGTTCTCGCGGGTCTGTGTAGCCCTGGTTGACGTAGCGGTAGTCGTCGGGAGAGGATTCGCCCCACGGGTTGGCGTGCTCAGAGTCTCGACCTGGAAGTCAAACAAAAACAGGAGACCGTGTTGGCGGAGATGAAGCCAAACATTCTCAGAGGCGGCGTGTGCGAGGAGCTGAGGAGCCTCACCTGGGTTCCAGGTGGTCGTGGTGATGGAGTCAGAGGTGCTGGAGCAGGAGCCCGAGGTGACGGAGCTGGACGTGTAGCTGGGCTGAGATAGCCAAACACACACATTGCATCACTTCCTGTAGCTGATTTTACTGTAATGACCTAAACAAACCCTGTGGAGTCAGCTGGTGTGGAACAGGTTCACTCAAAAGGTCAGGAAGCTGAGTGGGCGCTTAAATAAACTCTCATCCAAAACTAAAGCTAAAATAAATTCTCTAAACAGGATTTCCCAAATCATCGCCGTACCTCTGTCCATCTTTTATGTACAGTAACCTCAGTTTAGCGCCCTCTTTTCTAAACAGCAGCTCAGCTGTTTCCATTTCTGTCAATAAGCAGCCTTTAATCTGACTCACATAACGAGCGTGGTGCGGGGGGAACACGCAGGCCCGCGACGCGTGGTGCCCGAATAGTGCGTAAGAGTCTGGAGGCGGAGCCTGAGCTTTGAACACGCTGCACAGCATGGCCAGAGTCTGAACGTCACTTATCTGACTGTAGTGATCCAGGCTGAAACACAGAGAATCGACATGTGAGTTTATTTATTTTCAATTCAACGTTTTTATTCTTTTTTATTCTGTGAAAACTAATTTCCCCCCTCGGCTGCTCCGTCACCCAAACCGAGAGCTCAACGCCGCACAGGCGTGGCGATCAGGAGCCTCGGCTTTGCTCTCAGTAACTCACAGAGTCTCCAGCAGGTGGCGTCCGAATGGGTGTCTGGCCCAAGGAGTCTCCATGTCCGGGTCAGAGTCTGGGCTCAGGTCCTGATTGGTTGCTGCAGACGCCAGAGCCCAAACCTGCACAGAGAGGCGGGTTTAGAAGAGGCGCACAGCACCTCTGGTTCAGCACTTTCTGCTCTCTTTATGTGGGGAACACTTCAGCCTCAAACTAAACTCAGTTTTAACTAAACTCAGATTTAACTAAACTCACTTTGCTTCCCTGTTCTGTAATTTTGCGATTTTGTTACCTCGTCTCTAAAACCTTCCCGGCTCCACGTTTTGTATAGTTTCTACTTCTGTAGCATCAACAAAAGCATTCAAAATCTGATTCAAATGCAAGTTAAAAATAAAAAGGATGCAAGCACCGACCTTCGCCACGTCTCTGCGTCCGACAGCGAGCGCCACTGCGGCGTTCTTCTGACACGTTTCCTGGATGTCGTTCATGTTCAGGCTGAAGAGAGAAAATAAACCTGTAACGATCTGCGCGAAACACGAACGTGAAGAATTGATTTACATCACAACAGCCGTCATCTCGATGTTGTGAAGGTTTCTGGTGAGGGTGGGTAAGTCCATCTTTTATATACAGTCTATGCTTTGGCTGCTGACAGGCTGGTTTAAAGTTGGTTTTGACTGTCTGTCTCTTGATTGATTGTTGATTAGTTAATCTGACCTTTTCAATAAATAAAATAACAGACATAAGTCAGAGATGCAGTTTTCTATCATATGCAACTGTAAGGCATCAAATGCTCCTGTTTCAGAGGAACCAGAGGATGATTTTGGCGTTTACGCTCAGTTAATCTGTTTAAATGAGTTTTCTGTGAATCAGCTGTGATGTGACTCGAGCGGGTGAGTGTTTGTTTTACAGCCTCGTGTCTCACATGTAGTTCTCTCCCAGAGTTTTGTGGACGGGCAGCAGGCAGGAGATCTCCTGGATGATGACTTTTCCGGCCAGTTTGATCGGACGGTTGCCGTAGTCCGTCCCCTCTCGCTTCGTCTTAAAGCGGCGGGATTTCTGACAGACAGAGAGAGACAGACAGACAGATAGCGAGCCGAGAAGACACAACAGAGCACCACCTGATTAAAAGTGGGCCGGAGGA